TTGTATTGTCTGCTACCTGCCCCACCCCCTTCTGCCTGGCCCCCAGGCATTCCCAGTAGGGACTGGGGGTGAAACTCCCTGCTTGGGGTGAGCAGCAGGTTAATTTCCTCCTGGAGCTTCCCTCAGCAAACAATGAGACAATGGCCAGCCGGAGGTGGCCTGCGTAAGACAGACGAGGAGGGGAAGTTGTAATCTGTGCTTGAAGCCAGCAGGCGGCAAAGGGGCGAGAAAAGCAGCCTGAGCCAGACCGGGCCCTCCACCCAGCCAGCCCCTGGGACCTCGGAGGGCCCCAACCTGAAGGTCACCTGAGTCGCCCTTGAGGAAAACAGCCACAAACCATCATCCTTGAGGAGAAAACACGGATGGGTGGGGCTCGCCCTCATACCCCCTCCCTGTCCAAATGGTCTTATTTCCTCTTTGCACAACCCCATCTGCCTACCTTCTGGGCCCTGCTGTCAGGGAGACATCCCCAGACAGACACCATCTGATTCTGGCTGTCTGACCTTGGGGCGTGTTACTTAACCTCCCTGCACTTTCTCTGTAAACAGGGAATAATACCACCTCCTTCCTCAGCTTGTCAAGAGGATTCCATCCCTCCATTTATCCAACAGGCATTTATTGAGCATCTGCTATGTGCAGGCACTGTGCTGGATGTCCGGGATACAGCTGTGAACGAGACAATGTCCCTGCCCTCGTGGAATACACAGTCATAACATGGAGAGAGTCAATAACCAGACAATTGCCCCAGTACATGAAATCACGCTAGTGACAGGTGTTACCAGGAGAGCAGGCAGCACCATTACAACCAGGCAACCCTGGGTCCAACCTAGGCTGCAAGTTAATGTGGGCTTCCTTGAGGAAGAGGCAGCTAAACTGAGTAAACAGGGAGTGGAAGTCGCCTGGGCCAAGGGGAAAGGGCACAGGGAGCAATGTGAAGGCTTGGATGCCAGGACAAAGTTGGCACCAACAAGAAGAGCCAGGCTGGTGCACCTGGGACAGAAGTTTTTTCTTTACCTGGAGAGCAAATGGAAGCCACTGAGGGTGCCAGTAGAGTGGCACAGTCCCACTGCCTTTCAGATAATGCTTGGAAGTGCTTAGCACAGTGCCCAAGCAGGTGGGTTCCCACCTCAATGTCGGAGTCCTGTCCAAGCACCTCATGCACGACAAACCACTGCTTCCCCACACTCCTCTTCACTGCCAGGGCTGAGACTTGCTGTGCCCATCTTGCAGATGAGGAACCTGAGGCTCAAGGCAGCGCACAGAGGCGGGTGAATGAGCACACCAGATGGGTCCCAGCTTCCTCTGGGGAAGGGTCACTGATTGGCAGGACATCCTGAGACCACAGAGAACCTCAGGAGGACCTTTGGCCCCTCCCTCCCACATCTCAGGGTGGCTTCTTGCCCCCCTTCCCATGCCCCAGAGGCTCCCCTAAATCCAGCTCTATACCCAGAAAGGAAAAAGGGTGACAGCTGACTGAGGGCTATCCCCATCCCAGGTCATAACCCCAATGTCCCCAATTGCTGAGCAGCCTCACTCAAAGACACACCCACATCCAGGTTCAAAACCAGCCTCTGGCTCTGCCACCAGTGCCTCTCCCCTAAGAGAGGGGCTACACTCCAAGATGACTCACAGGAAGAGCAGCTCCCACCATGGAGAGCTGTAGCTGTGCCTTCCAGGGTCCTTCCTCTTAGCCATCCAAGTGCTGTGAGCCCCACTTTACTGAGGAGGAAACTGAGGCGTGAGGAGGGAAGCCTCCTGCCCACAGTCCAGAGCCAGCAGGAGCTGTGCCTGGTTCCAAGCTGATGGGCCCCAAAGCTGCACTCCACATACACAACTCCTGTAGGACCCCCAGGTGGTACATTCTGCAGACCGCGTCCCCGCACACTCAGAGCCCTTGGTGGCTTCCCGTGAATCCTTGCCTGGGTCTGCAGGCCTCACGCCTCTCTCTCATCTTCCACTCGCACAGCCCTTCCTTCCCTCTATCGCTCCCACCTCGGAGCTTTCAGCACACACTGCTCCCTCTGCTTCATTCGTGTCTCTGCTCACATGTCACCCCAGCAGAGACCCTCCCAGACCCTTGCACCCTGCTTTATATTTCCCCACAGTACTCACCCCTGCCTGACCACAAAGGGGGTGTTATTTGTCTGCTCTTTGCCTACGAGCCCAAGAAGGCAGCGTGGACTTGGTTCCTTTTCACAGCTGGGCCCCAGGGTTTGCACAATGATAAGTGCTCAACAGGAATTTGTCACATGAATGAGGGAAGGATGAAAGGTCTCCCATCTCACTCTTGCCCCAACTACATGCCAAACCTGCATCCTCAATTACCCCCAAACACCCTACTTGCTGATGCCAGTCTTTCTGGTTCAGGAAAGGCCCAAGCACAGCCAGCGTCTCACTGGACCAGCCAGCAGCCTTGGCAGGTCCTGATCACAGGCCCACTCTAAGGATGGAGGAAACCAGAGCTCGGAGAGAACATGTGCTTGTCCAAGGTCACAGAGCACCAAAGGTCACAGAGCCCTCGTTCTCTAGGAGGGTATCTCACTTCCCCATCACTATAGCAGGAGGTGCCTCTGCTCGAGGACCCAATGGAATGGGAATATGGAGGTTCCATCTCACCCCCTTTCTCCAGTTATGTTGGGGGGCACAGTGTTACTCTACTGTCAGCAGCTCCCTCCTCCCAGCACTGGGACTCCAGCTCCGCATGTTCCAGGAAATCCAGGCCACATTTCCCTCCAGGAGCCACCGCCCAAAGGGAACCTCTGGGGAGAGACAGAGCATTTTTTGAGGAAAAGGGGGGTAAAGGTGGGGGTTGTGGGAGAGTCACCAAAAAAAATATATATTGTGGCTGGGCCAGGAATGTGCCTGGGTGAACCGGAGCCAAGCCTCCTGTCACATCCACAGCTGTGCCGGCCAGGGTGGGGTGCAGGGCGCAAGCAGGGCCGGGTCACTCTCAGGACAGGACACCAGCTGCCAACCTGCTCCTGGCAGGCAGGCCAGCTCCCTGCCTCCAGCCTGGTTGGGGAAGAGCTGGGCAAGCATCTGGGTCAGGAGTCAGGGCTCTGGGCTCTGCCACCCCAGTTCATTCACCAGCCTGGGCCTTAGTTTCCCCATCTGTGCAATGACAAGATTTGGAGAAATGCTAAAGCAGAGTGACTTTTCAATAAGAAACCAGGTGAATAAAAGGAGGGACAGGGACAGCCACACTCTTTAGCAGGGTTGAACCTGCTAAACTCAAGGACTCTGTGAACTTGCCCGGGAAAAAGGACAACTTCATATCCACTAACCTCTAATTGAAACACGGCACTTCCTCCAAGTACGCATGGGAATCATGAGCCACAGCAGGGTTCACAGTGGCTTTGTCACAGTAGAAGTTGAAGACACTTTCATATGACAGCATAGTGGTTGCAGACACCTCCATAAATTGTTTATGCTCAAGACCTGAGACCTGCATCCACACCTTCTATTTAATGTGCTGCTTAAGGAACTCATCTATGACGGCATCATGAACCCTTGTTACTGTTGCAGTAATAACATTTCAATATAGTGGGTTTCCTAAAATAAAATCATGCACTTTATTTTATGTGCTTAAAAATGATTATGAGAGAGGGTCTCTTGTCACCAGATGTCAAAGCGGTTTATGATACAAAAAGCTAAAAATCCCCTCTCTATATGCAGCCATTTTGTTTTTAAATGGGGAAGTTCTCTGTATACTGACTTGGAACAAAGTCAAAACACAGTGCTAAGCACAGTCAGAAAAGCAGGATACACCAGTGTCTGCGTAAGAACCAGGCAGGGTGCCTAAGTTGCTTGATGCAGGGACCCCCAAACTATAGTAGTAGTCATCCCCAGGGTCTGGGGGAAGCCCAGCACTCAATGCCTTGAGCATTGTTTGGTTTATGTTCCATATACATATATATTCAGAAAGAGTCAAGATTCTGGGAAGGTGCTGTGCCCATAGGAAAACAGTTTTTGAATCTTCCCAAATCCCCATATCCAAGCAGACACAGCAACTAGGTAGCAAACCAAAACCAATGGACAAGATTTACGACAAAACTAGCTGACAAGGTGTCCCCACAAATTCCAAAATACATGTAGGTGGAGACAAATCTGCACATTATTAGAGTTTGTGTGGGAGAATACTCCCACCCTGAGTATTTATTAGTTTAGGGGATACATGAAATAATAATAAAGTCTCAGTCTCTGCCCCAGGATCCAGGATTAGTGGGGGACACAGACAATCAAAGAAACGTATGACAAGAATAATTCCAAGAGTTTAAGACTCTGAACATGTACAAAGGAACCCATGTTTGAAATATTTCACAGCTGAGAAAAAAAGAACAAAGGAAGAAAGAAGGTGAGAAAGGGGCCGGTAACTCCTCCTTTGCAGGCCCAGATCAGTGGCCGCTGGTGGCATCTGAAGGTAGCTGCCCACCACACAGGCTTGAGGGGAGCTACCCGCCCCCAGCTCAGACGTCAGTGCCCACTACCCAACATCTTCCTTTTTGATGAATCATGTGTTTATGGACTAAAAGGCAGGGTTATCCCAGCCAGGAAGTCCTTAGAGTCATCAGCATGGAGGCAGCCCCTTAAAGCGGAAAAAACAGAGCCCTCAGAGGCTCAAGACATAGGTTCGAGTCCCAGGCTGGCCACATAGTTCACAGCATGATCTCACACTGATCTCAGAGGTGCAGAGACAAGGCAGCTGCCAGGGCTCACCCGGTAAACCTGCAGACGCTTCTGGACTCCCGCGTGGGTGCGGAGGAAGTCGGAAGCCCCTGGCAGCCACTAAAGGGAGGGGAGAGGAGGAAGCTATGTTGTTATGCCCTCAGCTCCCCAGATACTCAGGCAGCACCCCCCTCCGGGCAGGACAAGAACAGAGCACTCAACTCAGGACCTAGCCACACTCCTGTCCACTCTCAAGGGCAGCCCCAGCAGGCAGGTATCCTTATCCCCATTCTATAGATGAGGAAACTGAGGCTTAGAGAGGGGAAGGAGGCCACCTGAGGTCACACAGCCCTAATGTGCTCTGACCTGGGTCTCTTGTGAGGGGCCCTCACACCCTGGGGCAGCTCTATGCTGGCAATCCTGACCTCACACCAAGCCTGGAGGCCCACTCAGGGGTGTGGCTGTCTCCCTGTGAGCAGGACTATTTTTAGTGTCGGCAGCAGGGGCTAAGGGCCAAAGACAGGAGTGACAATGGGGGGAAGGGGGTGGGGCTGCTGGCGGCCGCCCCCGCACCCAACAGCCGCCCCATTTCCTCGAGGAACCAGGCGGTGCACAATACAAGGAAAGCCAAGTGGGGAGCGGCTGGGGGCTCCTGTGGGGGGGCTGACCTGGCCCATCAGGGCAGCTGGGGGCCAGGAGGGACTTCCAGACCAGGGGGAAACGGACTATTAGTCCAGCTGCCTGGTCCCAGCAGAAGTGATGGGTCATGCTCTGTAGACACACACACACACACTACATCCATTCTCTCTCACACATACACACACTTACCTTAATCTCTCACACACTCGTTCTCTCATATATTCTCCCTCTCTCTGTCACACACACACACACACACACACACGGGTCTTTTATTAACTCCTAAGCCAGGACATGGTCTAATCCAGCGTAGAGGCAGAGAACTGGGTTGTGGAGACTCAATGAAGTGAGATTCCCAAGCAGGAATTGATTTGGGGGCCACATGGGAAGTGCTGTCATGAGCACCCCCCACACTTTGCCAGGGTCCTGGCCTCTTGGGGAAGGATGTCCCTGCTGGGGAGGTTTCTAGCATGTGGCTGGGGCTCCCAGACAAGTGGGGGCTATGTGACAGGAACAGGAAGGTGGTTCCCCATAGCCTGGTAGCAAGCGCTCCTTCCTTGCCCCTCTACAAAGGGAATTCCAGTTTTGCCTGGGCAAGAGCCCTGAACTGAACTTGATGTCTGAGGTTCCCCTATGTTCTCCCATAGCTTAGGGTAGGAGATGGCTTCTCCCCCTTCCCCATCCTTGCTCTGCCAGCCACCACAGACTGAACTCTGGTTAATGCCTCCTCTCCGACCCACCTCCATACTCTTTTGTGTGCTATGCCCCTTGCAGGGGATGCCCTCCTCTGTCTCCTGTTCTCCTACCACCGTTAAAGCTCTGAGAACAAGGACAGTGATATTCTTGTTTGCCATCACATCCCCAAACCAAGCAAGTGCCTGGCACATAGTAGATGCTCAATAAATACCTGTGGCATGAAATCCTTGCCTCCACCTGGAAGCCTCTTCTCCTCCCCACACCATGGACAAAATGCTCTCATTGGGCCTTCTCAGCTGCCCAGTGAGGCAGATATATTCATTCCCACTTTAGGGAGGAGGAAACTGAGACTGAAGAGGGGATGTGGCTTGCTGAGGATCACACAATGGGTAGCAGCATAGGCAGGACTTATATCTAGACCTGGGGTTCCCTGCTGTGTCCTCAAAAGCCCACACCCACCCCTGGCCATCAGCTCTCAAATCTGAAACAGATATTTTCTACGTGGCTCGATGGGGTTCCAGCCACAGCAGTTCAGCTGAAAGGTGAAGGCGGTGATGGGGTTGAAGAGAGGAGGTAGGATTCTAGGTGTATGTTAGAGATGGTGCCAGCTGGTGGACAAGCAGCAGGGAGGAGGTGGGAGGAGACAAGGATGTGTCTGGGTGCTGGATGGCCCCTTTACTGAGTCAGGGAGAAACAGAGGAGGAGCAGGGTAGGGCACACCAGTGGGTAGCTGGATATCAGCATCTGGAGCTCAGGGGAGAGGCTGGATCTACATTTTAGATCTACATCTAGGTGGGCTAAAGTCACAGAGCTGAGTGGCATTGCCTGGGAGTGAGTCCATGGAGAAGAGAAGGTGGCAGAGCTTTACTAAGAGAGTAATCAGTGCTGGCAAGAGTGAGGTTTGCTTGTTTTGGGGTGGTTCACCCCAAGAGTGAGGGCTTCTTCCACCCTCCCAGGACCCACTCAGGGCTGGGTTCTCCTTCACATGGATAGAGCTGCACCCAAGGATCGGGAAGGGAAGGCAGGAGGATTTTTGGACATGTACTGGGGGCAGGTTCTGCACCAAATAAAAAATGATTCACTGGAGGTGTTTAAGCCATATTTGGGGAAAAGTACTAGGCAATAAAAAGAAACAGACTGCTGATACTTGCAACAACGTGGATGAATTTTGGAGACATTAAGATGAACGAAAGAAGCCAGGCACAAAACTGTACATGCTGTCTGATTCCACTTATATGAAATTCTAGAAGAGGCAAAGCCAAGTGATAGTGACAGATATCAAATCAGTGGCCCAGGAGGTGGGATTGATGGGTGAGGGGCAGAAGGGGTGCTTTGGGGGTGATGGAAATGATCTGTATCATGATTGGGTGGTGGTTGCAAAGGGTGTACATTTGTCAAAACCCATGGAAAGAGACACACTTAAGATGGATAACCCTGAATACCTTTAATTTTATGTTAATTACATCTTGATACAATTGTTTTTAAAAATGAGCACCATGCTCTCAACCTTGAGAATCTATGATCGCTTACCAGTCAGACTGCATTCTTTCTGGTAATGGAGGGTGCCTCCTTTCAGATGGTTCATAAGCCCCAATGCTGGGGTTATATTTAGGCATCTGCCTAACTTATTTCCAGGAGCAAAGAGTGTTGCGAAGCAAACGCAGGCTGCTGTTTATTGAGCACACACTGTTCCTGGGTAACACTTCCCCCAGCACCCAGTGAGGTGGGTACTCATATTATCTCCACTTCACAGAAAAGGAGAAAAGTGGAGGGAGAGGGGTCTTGCTCAAGATTGCACAGCTGGCATGTGGGAGAAGGGGGATTTGAACTCAGCCTGGCTCCAGAACCCCCATTCCTGCCATGTGGGAGAGGGTGCTGGGGCCACCATTCAACCTTCCAGATGGTTCCACTTCCTGGCTGTGTGACCTGGGACAACCTCTACCTGTCTGTGTTCGTCTGTAAAATGAGGATAAAAACACTATTTACCCTGAATGGGTACAGGGCTTTCTTTTGGCGAGCAAAGGTTGTGAAACCAGATAGAGGTAGTGGTTGTACAACATTGTGAATGCCACTGAATTGTCAACTTTAAATGGTTAATTTTATGGTATTAAATTCTGACTCAATAAAAAAGAAAAAGGAAAAAAAAGAGATAATCTGTGTAGCTATAAATGGATATGTACATTAAGAAAAAAACTACCTACCTTAAAAGTTATAGCGAGAACAGTAAATATCAAGCACTCGGGATAATGCCGGACTAGTACAGCAGTAAGCATGTATTAAGACATTTTTATTTCCTTCACATTTAGTGCTTCTAATTGCTGGCCAAGCTGCCATCCTCAATGACCAACCAGCTACACAGGCCTCCCTGGGCTCGCGCTTCAGCCCCCATACAGCTGTCAGCCCGCCACCTTCCATCACTCGCTCCACTCGCATGGCCTCTGGGCCTTTCAGCCTTCCCTCCTGCCAGGCATGCTCCTGCTACCAGGCCTGTGCCCTGGCTATTCCCTCTGCCTGGACGGCTCTCCCCTCCGATTCGCATAGCTGCTGCCTCGCTTCCTTCAGATCTTTGCTTAAATGTCACCCGCCCTGAGAGGTCCCCCTTGACCACCCTCAGAAAACAGCTCTGCTCCAACCATTCATCATCCCCTCACTGGCTTTACAGTCTGATGTAAGACTGTACACTGATTTGTTTTCTGTGTTTTGTTCATCTCCTCATGAGACTGGCAGCTCCTTGAAGAGAAACTTAGTCTCTCTTCAGAGGGACTTTGTTTCCTGCTGGGAGCCCAGCCTATGCCACATGGTAAGCCCTCCATAGATATTTGTTGAATGAATGAATGAATGAACAAATGAATGCATGCCTCAGACAGTGTCCATCTGGTCATTCAGCTGAGCTCGGAGTGTGTGAGTCACCCAGGACAGGGACCCTGGGCTTGCCTCAGTGGCCCCTAGATTGCCTAGCACAGGGGCATCTGTTGAGAAAAACCTCTGCTCAGTTCAGGGTCCTCCAGCTGTGGAGTCTGGAGTGGCAGGGGTCTGGGACCAGAATCCCAGTCCAAGGGACTGCCTGCCCCCACACCACCCCTAGCCCTGCCCCCTGGGACACCAGACTCTGCTTCCTCCCTTTGCAGCTGTTCCTTCCAACTCCCAGCCCCTTCCTTTCCTCCTCATCTGGGCCTTAGAACATCTCCTTGGGCTTTATCTTTCCCCTCAGCTGCTCTGGGGGAAGGAGGTACCTTCCTCTATCCTCTCCTTCCCCACCCTCCTGGCCTGGGTCCTAAAGCCTCCCCCTCAGGCTCAGCACCCACCCCAGCCTCTCCCCTCACCTCCAGCAACTTCCAGGGAGTCTGTCCACCGTAGCCAGAGGAACCTCGGGTCCCTCCACAGGTCTCTCAGCTTGCCATGTGACCCATCTCTCTATTCAGAGGCCAGCTGGGGGACTAGGCTGTCTGTGCTCCAAACCCAGCTCTACCACTTGCTAGCTGTGTAGCCTTAGGCAAGTCACTTAATCTCTCTGTACCTCAGAATTTGTTTTAACACAAGGATGCAATGCAATAATGTGGAAGGGCTTTGTAAATTGCAAAGCCTTAACCACCCTTGGCTCTGTATTTGTGCCCTGTTTCTGAACCAATGAGCAGGAACTCTGAGGGTCAACCTCCCAGTGGCCCTAAACTGTTGCAGATTTATCTGCCATTGTCCTTATTACATGATCAATAACATCCTCAGGTTTCACAAAGGACACAGTCAAGGGTCCATTTACTTTGAGACAAGCGTGAAGTCTCAGAGAACACTCTAGAACAGCATACTTCCAGCTAAGCCCACTGTCCCCCAGGGGCCTCACAATAACCCAAAACAGGGAAGAGTCATTATTATTCCATTTTACAGATTTGGAAGCTTCAGGCTTCCTCCCCAAAGCTCAAGCTCTATTGTTGTTCCTGGCTCACAGACTAGAGTCCCAGTCCAGCCCTCCATACCTGCACACTGGGGACTCCTTTGAGCTCCCCGACACTCCTGCTCAGCAGCTCCTCTCCCCCATTTTCCCCAGGCACTTGCCTATCCTTCCAGAATCCTTCTGAGCCCAGCCAGCCTGGCAATGGCTGATGACAGATGAACTTCACTTTCCCCCCTGATTCCAAAACAAGAGAGGCTGGTGACACTGAATAATGCG